TACTCACAATTGTTGGGAATATCACGCAAGCAAACCAGCTTCGTATTTCCATCAATCCCACCCCAGAATCTGATTTACCAGCCATGATCAATGCTTTGAGATTTATAGAGGACTAAAACAACTTAATTCAGAAACTTATCAAGAAGATGGTAACACCCCTCTTTTCCGGATGATTTATTGCATTTGATTACTTGTACCAGAAAGATGCTGATATCTCTTTCTGCATATATACGTATAGAATTCACTGTTGGTTTTTGTATAAAATAACTGTAGGAATAGCAATAGGTTCGTGTTATGTTAAAAATAGTTGGCTTAATAATAGTTGATTTGGTCATGGCTGACTCAATCAATTTTGACTCTAGGTAAATTTACATAAACCCAAATTCTTGTTTTGCTACCCGCGCTTAAATTCTTTAGCGCTTAGTGCTCTTGTTAGGATCACTTTTGAAAGTTTAGGGAAAAATGCATGGAAAGGGAAAAATACTTTTTGTTGGGTAGAAGTTTGACTTGCTATCTGAAGAAAGAAGTAAAGAGTAGGGCAGCTATAGGATTGCTATAGTCAAAGTCCATGAGTTGGGGGTTGTGAAAGTTACTTTTTGGGGTCTATAAATCTTATCTTCGGCTGAGCAGTAAAAGGGTGTGAAGAATTTGAACTGTGATCTTGGCCCTTGGGTGGAGAGAGCCAACCTCTCGAAAGTTTGGCAAGTCTATTGGTTCATTGTGTTGTATCTTGTTCTGTGTATCTTGTTTTTTCCTTGTTAGTTTGTAATCATCACTTTCATTGTAGCTAATGTATCAGTGTGTGAGAGTCATCTATTCCCTTGTTATTCAGTAAAACCATTATCAATCTCAAGTTTCCCCACTCTTTGTTGTTTATTTCTGATTTTTGTTGTTGTGTAAGTTTGTTTAGAAGAGGGTCCTATCAGCTTTTTTGTCCTTTCTTTTTTGGCACTCTTCATTCATCAAGCTTAAACTTACTGAACTACTGAAATAGTTATTAATGCTAAAAAAAACAGTTGATGCAATTTTTTTTTTTTGGCCAACAAAGTTGATGCAATTCAGGGAATCAAAAGTATTTATAACATCATAAATTGGCAAGGAGATCCATGCATTCCAGCTAGTCTTGCTTGGGAAGGGGTCGCTTGCACATCTGATGCCAATCCAAGGGTCACTTCACTGTGAGTACTGCTCTTGTTTTCTTCTGAATCACGCAAGTTTGAAAAGAGATGCTTAACTGTTGAAGATATTAATCTACAGTACTGGCTTCTAAAAGTTATAACTAGATAAGCAATAATATAAGATAAAATAAATTTTTTTTTGTCTGCTAATGATAATATATCACTTTGATTCCTGTCATGAGATGTATTTGAAGAACTGGTCATTGATAAAAATCGTATGTCCTTGTTCTATTCTTATAACTAATCCTACACATTAGAATAAGTCTAATTATTGTTATTGATGATGATGATGGTATCATTTTGTTGTTAATTAGATCCTCAATCTTAATGACCATGGTATTGCGGGAAAAGTTCTTAGATATATCTACCAAACCAATTATGAATTGGCATGTGTACAAGCTGGATGAATTTCCAGTAGAACTCATCTTTGATATGCTTATATTTTTATTAATAATTTTCTAGATCTGTCCATCATTTTTGAACAATATACAATATCTCGTGTTGCAATACATTTCAGCTTCTGCTTTTCTCTTATTCGTATGTTTAATAATCGCAAGAAAATGATTCATTCTGCAATTCAAGCAGGAACTTGAGTTCAAGGGGACAAACAGGGAGGATAGATGATTCATTTTCAAAATTCATTAAACTGAGGTCCTTGTAAGTTTTAGTGTCTTTTGACACATACCTTGTAAATCCTCATTTTTCTTTATATCCACGAGGCTTCAGAGGCTATCAACTTGCAAAGTTTTCACTCTGCTTATCTAAATGATAACTTTTATGCAGGGATTTATCATATAACAACCTGACAGGAGAAGTGCCTGAATATTTTGCACAGTTACCAGATTTGAAAGTCCTGTAAGTTAAGATCATTTAGCATTCCCATCGTAATTTCCTCAGCCATGTCCTTCCACCATATTTATCATAAAGTCTCTACAGTAATTTAACAGGGAATCAGCTCACAGGTTCAATCCCCAAGCCACTAAGGCTGAAGTCCGAAGCCTCTTTGTCTTTGAGGTTTCTTTCTCTTCTTTAAGTAAATCTACTATAACCAAGAAGTTTCTTGTCCAAATTTTGGCGTTTCTTTTCCTACATTTGACTTGTCGTTTGATCTTATAAACATGAGTAGTCTTGCCGTGATGTAGCTCCATTATTTGATACCAATGCCAAATTATGGTTTCTGAGGTTTAAATTATTAGTCTAATTACTTAATGGTATTTGACACTCTTGCATATTAAGCTGTGTTTTTATTTTGGGCTAGTTTGGAAGGAAATCCGGGCCTTTGTCTGGCTGAATCATGTGGAACAAAGAAGCATGCTACCCTCCTCATTGCATGTATAGCAGCATCCATAGCGGTTTTAATAATGACCGTCCTTATTTATCTGATGAACATGAGAATCAAAAGGAAGAAGCAAGGAGGTAATTTCCTGCTTCTTATATCTTTGGCAGTGTTTGAGGCAATAATTTTTTTTATATCATGGTTTTATGAACTGGTATTCCTTATAGTCCACCTTCATTAAACAAGCTTGATTCAATATCAAAAGAAATCCTATTTATCATAGAACAGAGTTTTCTTTCTCTTCTCATTGTAGCCTTTGAACTTGTTTCACAAATTAATGTTCCATCTATGCTGGGATATAGTCATTACAGTTCCAATTGTCTATCAGCTTTTCCGGATTTTATAAGGGAAAAGAAAGAGACAAGACTTAAGAATCTACGTATCCGTTTTTTTTTTTTTTGAAAGAAATATTGTGAACTGTGTGGTTATGGTTATTTACATTGCTTCTGTGAATGTGATGTTTATAGCATTTAAGAAAGAAGGGCGGGAGAATTCAAAGAAACAAGTATTTTCTCTGAGAGAGGTTACTAGAATTACCAGTAACTTCAAAACTGTTATTGGGAAAGGTGGGTTTGGAGAAGTTTACCTTGGCACAGTGCAAGATGGTAAAGAAGTTGCAGTGAAGTTACTTTCTCAGACATCAAGGCAAGGATACAGGGAGTTTCACTCAGAGGTTTGATGCCACAATCATATGCCTGAGGCAATTTTCGTTTATCACTTTTTCTTTGTCCCCATAGTTTTGTTTAGAAAACAAAGACTTCAGAATTTTCAGCATCTTCCTTAAATTCATGATGTTAAACTTCAAACGGCAGGTAGATTTGTTGACTTTCGTTCATCATAAAAACTTGGTTTCTTTTATGGGGTACTGTGAAGAAGGTGATGTGAAAGCATTGATTTATGAATATATGGCAAAGGGGAATCTGCAACAGCTGTTGTCAGGTTAGTTTATGTTGTCACCAAAAGACAAGAACTTCGTATAAGCTTTCTACTTTGCTATGTTGAAGAGAAATTCTTGATGTTACCTGTTGAAGATTATTTTTTATGCCAATGTAGATGCCTGATTTCCTTTTTTTTTCTTTGAAAAGGATTTAAGAAAAGTATTTGGTTTGGAAGAGAAATAAATTACTACCTCCAATCCTTAATATAAGAGCTAGTTGGGAAGTTAAATTTGATCCTAAATATAAGATTTCAATATATTTTACCTCTCATCTTTTGTCGAAATATCCCTATTGATTGCAAGGAGCTCCCACCAAGGGACAATTCTAATCATGTAATGGAAATGATTGAAAGAGGATAGTTTAGGGAGATCAACACACATTTGTGACAAATAACCAACTTAACTAATTTTCTTAATATTCCTAAATTAGTTATCCAGCTCTTATATTAAGGACTGGAGATAATATACAATAAGGGATGTAAGTTTTTGTTGAAGACGTGGTTTGATTTACATATACTTTGTTTTCTGCACTCTGCAGATGAAAATCCAACTGTTTTGAAGTGGTTTGATAGACTTCAAATTGCCCTGGATGTTGCATTTGGTATGCGAAACCTCACATGTACTTTCTGTTAATGGCTTCTATTTTCCTAGTCTTCTCACTAATCATCTCTATACTAACATACTAAAGGTGTATGGGGTGTCTTGATGGAAATGCAGGATTGGAGTATTTGCATTATGGTATCAAGCCTCCCATAGTTCACAGGGACTTGAAGACCTCCAATATTTTGTTGGATGAGAACATGCAAGTAAAATTTCTGACTTCGGACTGTGTAGATCTTTTGAAAATGAACATGATAGTCATATATCAACTAGACCAGCTGGCACATTGGGTTATCTTGATCCGAGTAAGCATTGTAGATTACAAATTTTTACCAAATATCTTGTTTTATACATGAAATCTCTGCAGGAGTCTCATCATTTTGTGGCTTAATAAACTGCAGCAGCATGACACCCCACCCCACACACATATATAGAAACAAAGTTTTGAGACTTTAGTTAGAATCCCAGTGCTTTCAACCATTTACCTAGTGCTAAAGATAGGAGCTCAAAGCATAGATTCGCCTATCCTCTTGGTAAATTTCATATGAAATGAAGAAAATAAAGATCACTATTGACTCTTATTTCATATGTAGATTTCGAAGCTCTGGAAATTTGAATAGAAAGAGTGATGTTTACAGCTTTGGGATAATTCTGCTTGAGCTAATCACTGGACAGCCTGCAATGAAACCAGAATCACTTGGAATCAAGATACAATTACTTGATTGGGTTAATCCTAAACTTAATGGAGATATTGACTCCATAGTTGATCCAAGGTTAGAAGGACAGTACAATAGAAGTTCAGCATGGAAACTTGTAGAAATTGCCATGTCCTGCGCCCAACCTACTGCAATCCAAAGGCCTGACATAAGTGAAGTGTTGACTGAGCTAAAGGACTGTTTGGCTTCAGAAATAAGCCATGAAAGATCAGAGAGCAGCATGAGAAGGTCCAGGAATAATTCACTGGAAACAAGTTCTTTGAATCCTTTTCAGATTGATTCATCATTAGGCCCACATGCTAGATAAGCTTGTTTAGAATTTCCAATTATGAAGTCTTGAGTGTGTTGTACAGTGGACAATAGACAGTTTGTTTTTTGTTGGTTCTCAGTATGTAATGGCATTTTTGGCTTCATGGTAGACTAATCCCCTGCGCTTAATTTTCTTTCAAACCACATGAAGTTCAAAATGCTAAATCAATTTTGTTTAGGGAAGGCGATGATCAATAGAGACTTCTGAAGATATTATTGAACATACGAAGTTGATTACGAACAAAGAGTGAGATATTTCTCTTAATTTTTTGCCCAGGCGAGGAGGCAGGTTTTGGACGTATTGCTTAGCAATATTAATACAGGATTTTAAAAAAAAAAAATTCAACTTGATCGAGCGCCTTACCAATGCTTTAATAACACCAAATTAAATTGATGCCAACTTAATTCTGAGTTGGCAACTAATTGTGCCCAGAATTCAATTAATTTATTTGAAACAATTTTTTTTAATCGACCTTTCTCACCTTCCTATATATTCTAACATTTTAAACACCAACATGTAATTATATTACTATTATTCCCTGCCCACCTACTAACCTCATATGAGTTGACATTTTACTCAATTATAATTACAATTAAACATGCAAGCAAATGTCGATTAGCACCAAATAATTAGTCTTTCAACAGCACTACTTGAGATTTGAGATTCTCAATGAGAAATTATTTGCGGATGACTTGTTGGTAAGCATCATAAATGTGTGTGAAAGTCTGAAAGATGAGTGATGAAAAGAAGGGGGCAATTTTTATAGGGGGAAAAATCATTTTTGTTGGCTGTGAAATAATAAAGCGAAATAGAACAAGAGAGAAAGTTAGAAGAAGAGAGCGAGAAAAGAATTTCTTATATTTTGATGGATTAAATACAACTGAGAAGAAATAAAGATATGAATATACAACTTTAATCTAATCAAAATCTACAAACATAATGATAATAGGAGATACTCTGAGATGATTAACAAACTAAAAGTTTTTCTTACATAATACTCGTAACTGTCTGGAGCGGATTCAATAAAATATGAATTATTCCAATAATCAATGTTGTAGAGTGAGTTTTGTACATAAATGGCATTATATTATTAGGATTTTATATTATAGAGTGACTTTTACTCTTTTGTCCTATGGATGCGTGAGTTGTCAAGCTGAGAATTTGAGGAGGTCAGAGGTACCACTACTTATTGAGTCAAGTCAATCTAAATTATGGGGACTTCACCCCCAAAGAGCTTCCTTCTTCTTTGAGCCCGTTCTATTATACCATTTATATGTGCGTCTAGGTGATCGAAACTGGCAGTGTCAAACATGAACATTGCATCTGAATGGATGCTTCTTTTCCTTGCTTTCTTCATTCCTCTTCAACTCCCAAGCTTGTTAGCCTCTACTGATACAGGTAGTAAAAAAAAAAAAAAAAAATTTTACTTTTCACCATTTTTCTTATGGTATACTCACATTTTCCACAATGAACTGAATCTAGTCCCCAGGATCATATAACTCAGTCTGGTTACTTTAGCTTCTTTCTGTAATAATCTTGGTATCGCATTAATGGTTTTGGTCATTCTGTTGAACTTGAACATTTATAGGTTACATAAACATAGATTGTGGGGCAGAGGAGGCCTACACTGACAGTGACAGCAATATTGGTACCAAACAGATTCAGGCTTTGTAGAAACAGGCAAGAATCACAAATTACCCTCAGGTTACAGCTTCGATCAACCCCAAATGTCGAAGCAGCTCAACACATTGAGAAGCTCCCGGACGGAGTTAGGAACTGCTATACCCTCACTCCCAAACAGGGTAAAAACAACAAGTATCTAGTTAGAGCTTTCTTTGCTTACAGAAACTACGACTTGAAGCACACGCCACCTTCTTTTGATGTGTATCTTGGCGTGAATCATTGGAACACTATTGAGTTTGGGGATCTCTACATGTATTTTCCCATTGAAGTCACTCATTTTGCTTTGTCAGATACCATAAGTGTGTGTCTTGTGAACATTGGAAAAGGGGTTCCTTTCATTTCGTCCTTGGAACTCTGGCTTCTTACTGATTCTACTTATCGAACCTCCAGTTCGTTTCCGCTGGATATCTTGACTCGGTCAACCTTTAGCATGTCTGAAGATACCTTGTTCGTCAGGTACCTTTTCATCTGTTTAAAAAACAAAAATTATAAGTGAACTGGTGAGGGTGGTAGGAAGGTTGTGAAAAAGTTTAAATTTTTGCTTCTGACACTGTTCCGCACATTCAGGTTTGAAGATGATGTGTATGATCGTGTGTGGTTTAACAGAATAGTCGGCAATTCAAAGAAAATATCCACATCAGCAACTATTGATTCTTATGGAATAGAAAATACTAACAAGCTGCCATCACAAGTATTGAAGACTGCAATACAGTCTCTGAGTCTCAACTCTTCCTTGGAAATCTACTTCAATAACCATACTGATAGTTCACACGTGTATTATATCAACCTTTACTTCTTTGAATTTGATCAGCGTGTAACAACTCAGAAAAGGATCGTGGATGTTACTTTCAATGATAAAAGCATCCTCACAGATCCCTTTACTACACAACATCTGAAGCTCGTCACAATTGTTCAGAATATCACACAAGCAGACCATCTTCGTATTTCGATCAAAGCCACCCCAGAATCTGATTTGCCAGCCATGATCAATGCCTTTGAGGTTTATAGAGTACTAAGCCTGACTAATTCAGCAACTTATCAAGAGGATGGTAATTTATTTTCTTTTATTGCCTGATTCACTGCATTTACGTATATCTGAATGGACAATGATGTCACTTTTCTGCATATATATAGCACAAGCCTCCTTTTGTACAGGGATGAAAATGGATGGTTACTAGGCTCAACAATAGTTGTATGGGTCATGGTTAACTAATTTTGACTCTATCTGAATTCACATAAACCCAGCTACATAATTCTTTTTGTCGTTCCTTCATTGGCACTCTTCTTTCATATTGCTTAAATTTGCTGAAAGTAATGAAATTGTTGTTAATGATGAAAACAACAGCTGATACTATTCTGAAAATCAAACATATTTATGGTATCCCCATCATAAATTGGCAAGGGGACCCATGCATTCCAAACCACTTTGCTTGGGAAGAGCTTACTTGCAGCTCTGATGGCACTCCAAGGATTATTTCACTGTGAGTACTGCTCCTCTCTTCTTTGAAGCATCTAAGATTGAAAGAGATGCATAACCATTGAAACTCTAAAAGAAAGTACTGGCTTCCAAAAGTTATGACTAGATATACAATGACATATGATGAAATAATTATACCATTTTTAGCAAAAGATGATATATCACTTTGCTTTTAATTAATTAGACCCACAATCTTAATGACTACAGTATTGGAGGGACATTTCTTAAATAGATCTGGTTTATAAAAGATATATGTACCAAACTAGTTATGAATATGCCGGATGAATTTTTCAATGGAACCCATCTTTGAGATGCTTATATTTTTCTTAATAATTTTCTTGATCTCTGTGTCCCATCTCCTATAGCAATACATTTTCAGCTCTTGCTTCTTGATACATACCAGACTAGTTATGTTTATAATGGCAAGAAGATCATTCCTTCTAGAATTCTGACAGGAACTTGAGCTCAAGGGGACTAACAGGGCCGATAGATGTTTCCTTTTCAAGATTCTCTGAACTACAGTCCTTGTAAGTTCTAGTGCTTTTTTTGACGCATGCCTTCATGGTTCATCTGACAGGCCTTCATCTAAATAACAAATCTCATGTAGGGACTTATCATACAACAAACTGACTGGAGAAGTACCAGAATTTCTTGCACAGCTATCAAATTTGAAATTCCTGTAAGTTAACATCTTTTACCATTCCCACAGTAACTTCCTTAACCATTTCCTTCCTGCATGTGCATCACAAGTCTGTGCAGTAATTTGACAGGGAATCAGCTCACAGGTTCAATCCCCAAATCACTGTTGCTTAAGTCAAATACCACTTTGTCATTAAGGTTTGTTTATTTTCTTTTAAGTAATTCTAATACAATCAAACAGTTTCTTCCTGGAATTAGCTGTCTTGGCCACTGTAGTTTCCATTATGGGATATCGATGCCAAATTGCGGTTTCTGATGTCCCAATCACTAACCTAATTAGGCGATGACGTTTGACACTTTAAATTTTTTTCCCCCTTTTCTTGGCTAGATTGGAAAGAAATCCAGGTCTTTGTCTGGCCAGATCATGCAAGACAAAGAAGAATCTTGTTCCATTAATTGCATCTATTGCAGCATCCGTGGCAGTTCTAGTAATGATTGTCCTTACTTTCCTGATGATCCGGAGAATCAAAAAGAAAAACGGAGGTATATATTTTCCTTCTTTTTCAATCTTTCACAGTGCCTGCTGTAACCATTATTTTGTTTCAATCATTTCTCTGTGAGCTTGTAGTCCATTCATTTAACATGATTGAATTCAATATCAAAAGAAATATAATTTACCAAAGAACTGCATTTTTTTAAACTTGGCCTTACAACTTAATGTCCTGTTTGTGCTGGGATGTAGTCATTACAGTTTCAATTTCTTAAGAGTTCACTGAGGAAAAGAAAGAGACAAGATTAAGGATCGACATTTCCATTTTGAAAGCTCAAATATATATATATATATATTTGGAGAAATATCGTGAATGGTATGACCATAATTACTTACATTGCCGCTGTGATGTTTGCAGTATCTAAGAAAGATTGGCAAGAGAAATCAGACAAATACGTATTTTCTTTAAGGGATGTTAATAGAATTACCAATAACTTCAAAACTAAAATTGGAAAAGGAGGATTTGGAGAAGTTTACCTTGGTACTATGCAAGATGGTAGAGATGTTGCTGTCAAGCTACTTTCTCAGACATCAAGGCAAGGGGATAGGGAGTTTCACTCGGAGGTTTGACGTGACGATCACAAACCTTAAAAAGAGTTCATTCTATCAGATTTTCCCTTTCCTTCGTATTTTTGTCTATCGGGCAAACGCTTGAGAATTTTCAACGTTTTCCCTAAATCCATAAAGTTAACTTCCAACTGCAGGTAAATTTGTTGACTATCGTTCACCATAAAAACCTGGTTTCTTTTGTGGGGTATTGTGACGAAGGTGACGTGAAAGCATTGATCTATGAATATATGGACCAGGGGAATCTGCAAGGGCTATTGTCAGGTTAGTTATTTAGTGATTAAAAGACAAAAAACCTTTGTTTGGGCTTTCTTGATAAGAGAAATGCATCAGATTACGTGGCTTGAAAATTATTTATGTTGATAAAGATGCTTTCTTTCTTTATTTTGAATGAACTCAAGAAAAATGTTCTGGTTTGGAAGTGTGATATTGTAAGAGATGGAAGCTTTCCCTGAAGACTTGGTTTGATAGTAATGTATGCTTTGTTTTCTGAACTCAGCAGGTAGAAATCCAAATGTCTTGAAGTGGTCAGAAAGACTTCAAATTGCTGTGGATGTTGCACTTGGTATGTGAATCCTCACTCTTCTTCATGGCTTCTATATTTTCCCTGTCTTCTCATCAATCATCTCTAATCACATAAAGGTGTGTGTGGTGCTTAATGGAAATCAGGATTGGACTATCTGCATAACGGTATTAGGCCACCAGTAGTTCATAGAGACTTGAAGACTTCCAATATTTTGTTGAATAAAAAGATGCAAGGCAAGATTTCTGATTTTGGACTCTGTAGACCTTTCATAAATGAAAATGACGCTCATATATCAACCATACCAGCAGGCACATTTGGCTATCTTGATCCCGAGTAAGTAGCATAGTTTCAAAGTTTCATTCAATTTAATATCATGATAGTCAATTGCAGATAAAATCTAGTCACCAATCCTCTAAGTAAATTTCATATAATGGTTAAGCATGAGATAACAAGGATTGAACTTTTGACCCCTTATTTTATCTGTAGATTTCAAAGAACTGGAAAGTTGAACAAAAAGAGTGATGTCTACAGTTTTGGGGTAATTTTGCTGGAGCTGATCACAGGGCAACGTCCTATAAAAGAAGAGGCATCACTTGAAAACAAGGGTCACTTGCTTCATTGGGTTAATCGTAAACTTAAGAATGGAGATATTAAATCTATAGTTGATCCAAGGTTACGAGGAGAATATAATACAAGTTCAGCTTGGAAATTTATAGAGACTGCTATGGGCTGCGTTCCACCTAAAGCGATCCAAAGGCCTGACATTAGTGAAGTATTAAGTGAGCTGAAGATCTGTTTAAACTTGAATCAACAACAGACCCATACTCGTGAAAGATCAGAGACAGAGAGCAGCAGAAGAAATCCCAACAATTCATTGGATATGGGCTCTCTGAACTCACTGGGTATTGAATCAACAGCAGGCCCATATGCTAGATAAGTTTATTTATAATTTAATTATTAAGTCTCATCTTTCGAGTCTAAAAACTTGATTCGAGTCGACTGTTGGTTTCTTATCAGATTTTTAATTTTTTTTTACTGATATGTTTGACTTAATAAGATTAATCACTGCAGAATTGTCTTTCAAAAAAATAGTTAAGAAGTTAATTCAATTATCAAATCAAAATAATAAAATTACACTACTAACTCATCTAGCTAATTTTAACCAACTCTTTTACCAACGTGATTCAACTAATTGATTTTTATTAAAGAACAGAGAGACTAACTTTCCCCCCTCAAATATACCTTTTACATAGGAGAGAGCAGGGAAAATAAGAGATTAACAAAGAAAATTTGATATAAATTGAAAAAGACTGAATGTGACAATGTTCGAGGTACCGTTCTCAAGGGACTAAAAGTAGGTTGAAAAGACTAAATTAGAATAACCTTATGATGCTTTTCTTCCTACTATTTACTTATTTTCCTTATTCAGCAGTCTATATTTACACAAACACACACTCTCCCCTTTATTGGGTACTCAAATTAATGGCACAAGTTTTCGATCTCACCAAATACATTTATATACATTCCATCTACGTGCATATCCATGCAACCAATTAAGACCTATATTTTTCAACACATAAGACGCCTAAATGCAGAAAACAATTTATTCAATCCGTTTTGCGGTAGTGTTTGGCATATTCCATCACATTGGGAAGATAAAATTTAAAAGGTAAACAAGTATCTATCTTCCAGACAATATACTGAAGTCTGAATCAAATTGCAAAGCACTCGTACTCATGGAACTGCTTGAATTGGTGGGTTGGTCGCTGGTCACTTCCTTGCTCATCTCCAATTCCAAACATCCCCTTAGTTCATAAACTACTTGACTTATATCAGGCCTTTGACTTGCAGTTGGTGCAGTGCATGACATGGCTACCTGTAGGAATTTCCCAGCCGAATCAACACTATATTTTCCTTGGACCCTTGAGTCAATAATGGACTTGATATTCTCGTTTTTAACTTTAGGGGTAACCCACTGAAGCAGGAAAGTGAAGGTATTGTTTGGTTGCCTTTTCGCTGCTGGTTGTCCAGTGATTAGCTCTAGCAGAATTATTCCAAAACTATAAATATCACTTCCTTTTGTAAGGTTGCCAGAACTTTGAAACCTGTAAAAATTTAACATCCAAATTATGGAAACAGAAGATTTCAACAGAATTAGTTTAATTTATTTGTATATCAAAAACAAAATGAGCTTGATTAGTCTTCCAATCCAAATAATGTTCTTTACAAATTCTCTCTGTATTGCCTTGATTTTCTTGAACGCACGCAAACCTTAAAACTAATTTGATGGGACTCTTAGCTGAAGAATATATATATATATATATATATATATATTATTAATGAAGTGCTTACTCGGGATCAAGATAACCAACTATCCTAGCTGGACGAGTTGAGACATGGCTATCAATATCATTTGCAAAAGCTCTAGACAATCCAAAATCAGCAATCTTAGCTTCCATATTTTCATCTAACAAAATGTTAGTAGTCTTCAAGTCTCTAAGTACTATTGCTGGCTTACAACCATCATGCAAATATTCTAATCCTGCAATTTCATTCATTGTATAACCAAACAAATTATGTGGCAGAATTAGATCAAAACAAAACTTTATAATTTCCATATATACGAATTGAAAATTCAATCATGTAACTCAAAAAGGTTAATGTATGGATAGTTTTGCTTACCACATGCTGCATCTAGTGCAATTTGAACCTGTTCTTCCATTTCAAAGCATGTCTGTTGTTACCTATATATAAAATAGTATAATGAGATTTCTTCTATATATACCTTCAAATGTTGCTCAATCAATTAATACCGTGTTGTGCATAGAAAATATCTAGTCTTGCTTTTTAATTTGAAGCAAGATTTCACACCCGACAAATGTTGGCGGGGGTCACCATTAGCCATATACTCATAAATTAATGCCCTCGCACCAGTTTCTTTGCAATATCCAATCAGAGACCAAGTGTCTATGATGAACAACCATCAAGAGTTCTACCTATAACTTAGATGTAACTTTATCAACTCTATGCGAATCAGATAATAGTGAACAAAATATTTTTCTAACAATTGTGTCATAAAACAGGAATATAAATTGAACTAACCTCTGATCAAAATTCTCTATGACCTTGGACTGATGATTGAGAAAGTAATTTTACTGCAACTTGAGTATCATTCTTAAGAGTGCCTCAATAAACCTTTCCAAATCCTCCTTCTCCAATTAAGTTCTGTAAGTTATTAGTGATCTCAAGAACGTTGGAGTAAGAAAATGCTTTACTTCTTAATTTTGATGATTCATGCCCAGTAAAATCCCCTGCAAAAAGATATATCAATAGTGTTAAAAATGTGGACCTTGGCATTCAGATGTTTTCTTTAGCATATCAAATGGAATTAGTGGATTCCAACATGAAAGATAGTTCACATAATCTTGTGCAAACCTTTCAGTCTTCTTATCCTAAAGATCCATGTTCCAAGCAAAACCAAGATTACAACAATCAAAGCAGAGACAGAGGGTATTAGGGGAATAGCGAACTTGTGTTTTTTGCATCGATCCGTCAAGCAAAGATCAGGGTTACCATCCAAACTGAAAGATAATCAAATAATAAGTCAATTAGTATTATCATAGACTTGTCAATTTTACTGATGATTATGTTGGATCAAATAATTATTAATCTTGTCCAGTTACCTTAAAACGAAATAAAATTTTCCCTACCATCATTGAAACACTAACAATTCTATGATATTAAATTAATATTGATGAACTGATTTTAGTTCAATTTAAAAAAAAAAAATTAAAGGATCTTAAAGCTGAGTAACTATGGTAGATTAAAAAAGAGAAACCTCATTTCCAAATCTGACTTCTCCTTTAAAGTATTTGGAATTGAACCAGTAAGCTTGTTGCCTCTCAAATTACTGCAAGAAAGTCATTGTTGAATCACTGATTAGGTGATTTACAAGTTATCATGGTACACATGGACTATTAGTAGTCGCAAATCCTATACCAACTTACAGGAATTTCAACTTCGGCAATTTAGCTAGAAATTCTGGTATTGTTCCGGATAAGTTATTATCTGACAAATCCCTGAAACAGTGAAAACAATATTTTGATATGGTGAAATTCTTAGACCGAAGATGTTGTCCTAATTAAGTCACTATATACTTACAGGGACTCTAGCTCCGTAAGCTGTGAGAATGAAATAGCTATGTGTCCTGTTAACTTGCTCGTGCTCAAGTTTCTGCTTGGAATAATTCGAACATGTGGTCAAAACATACTAAGATAGGGTGATTATAAAATTTTCTCAAGTATAGCTTCTTTCTTATTAATAGCTATAATGTTGGTGGAAATATGGGAGAACATTAATTATTAGGTTGAGAGATGCCCGAGAGATTCTATCTAAGGATAGATAGGTCACAGAACAGAGCACATAAATGCTACGTAACCCAAGTTAAGAAACAAAGATCAGAGTTAGATTCTTCCTAACATGTTGGACTTAAAATTAGGAAACATGACGCTTACTTGGTCAACATTTGACTAAGTCAATAAAGTATGTTTACTAATTTTAATTTGAAATTAATTTAAAAATAAAACGAATAATTGAGATAGGACTACTAAATCTTTACAAAACGACTAAAAGTATACTTGGCAATATAAATTAACAAATCTTTCATCAAAAAGGGAAAAATGGACAAGAATAAGATCAAATTAAATTGACCCATCTACTCAAGTTTACATTTATCAAATCTTTTGGAGACAGAAGTGGAACTGATCAAACCTTATGAATTTGGGAATCAAACCTTGTGATTTTAACTCAAGAAGTGAAATACTTACAATGAGGTGATCCTTGCGTAAGAGTGGCTGGTGCCAGAACTGCACGTAAGTCCCTCCCATGCGTAATTGGGAATACACGGGTCAGCTTGCCAATCCAATTTAGAGATTTTGTATGCGATTTTGATGTCCCAGATAGCATCCACTATTTTTACAAATAATAAATATGTTCTCAGAAGTTGAAGCCAAAACGTCCACACACTGAAATGATATAAGATATAGCAGGAAACAAGTCAAACAAGGAAAACTGATCAGCATATACCGTCTCTTTGGTCTGTTGGTAAAGTCAGAGGTGATATTAATCGATAAACCTCGAGTGCATTGAGGATTGGAGGCGCAGCAGATTCTGATGTTGCACTTATGCTGAAACGAATACAACTTTGATTTGTAACTGCAAAAACGGTCTGAGGCTTCAAGTATTCAAGAGTTATGGGCTTTGGGAGGAATTTTTCATCATTAACAGTAATATCGATTACTCTTTTCTGCCCATGGGGAAGCTGCTCAATTTCAGCAAAATGGAAATAGACGTAGTATGTGAAAGAATATTCAAATGGACTCCCCCATGCAGAAAAACAGTCAAAGTTTAAAGCAGAGGAGCGATTCGATGATTTGGCTGCAGATAGTAGAACTCCTGCTGGTAATCTGTAAGAATCATTTGTGCTTTGGGGATCAATATCCTCAGATTTATTGAACACATGCCAATCTGTCAAGTTCAAAGTGTTGTCCACGCGCCACGGCCGATCATAGATGTCATCCATGTACCTATATGCTCGCATTATTGCATAATTGAATACCAGTATTGCTCCCATGTAAAAGCAGAACATAAAAATTCATCAGACAATGAAAATGTGGAAACACAACATATTATAGAATATATGTACTTGTTTGATTTGTTGTTTATTCAGAATAATCTTTCGATCTGGAAATAAAAAATTAAAAAAATTGTTTGAAAACGCGTTTTGATTTTGGTTACGCCTTCGGGAAAACAAAACCAAATTGAAAGTTGTCCTTTGAACAAAAAGAAAAAAAAACATAACATCATTGTGATTTTTCCTTACCTTCTGTTCTGCAAAATTAGAAAATGCTGGGGAAAAATTATGTTTTTACTAAGGACAATTATGTAAATATTAAAAATTATTCTTTCACTTTTATTTCCCTACTTCATTATTTTTTTATACAATTATTTCGCTACTTTATATATGTTCTTTAAAGAAATGATTCAAGCAATTTTTTTTTTGTTGCAATTTTTTGTTTTCAAAACTTGTTCTGAAAAAATAAGCTTCCCTGCAGAATTGTTTTAAGAACATAAAAAAAGATAATAGAATCAACCAAACCCTAAAAATTAGAGTCACCTGATCTGTAGTGATGTAGTATTACTGACGTAGCCAACATCAATTCTTGCCCGAAAATCTAAAAGTGATTGAGAAGGGGAGGGAGTTGCATAAATAGAATTGCTGAGAGGTCGTAGTTCCAATGTAGAAATGAAAGGTATTCCTTTGCCTGACTTGACAAGGCAAACATGGATGGTGTCAGTCGTAGGAGTATGGACGATCTCCACAAAATGAGAATTTTTATTTATTGGACAAACATTTGTCCAATAATTGACACCGAGGTACAAGTCGAAACTGGGAGTCTGATTTTTGCCATCATAATTTCCATATGAGAAGAAAGCTCGGATGAGGTAACTTTGGTTTTTGCCTTGTTTTGGTTTCAAGGTATAGCAATTCCTTCTTCCTTCAGGAAAACTTCTTAGTGTTTGCAGTTGTCTCCCAAAATAAGGATAATATACGTTATATCTTTCATCAGGCGCCACCATAGAATTAGACCCTGTCTCTACAAAACCTCTGTCTGTCTTGTATGAAATCCCAGTTTGATGGTCAGTGTATTCGTCGCTTGCTCCACAGTCAATGCTTATGAAATCTGTGTATAATTTGTGTTGAAGGAAACCTTGTTAATTAACTAGGGAAACATAGGTTTTGATAAAGGCAACAAGTCATTAGTAGTATTAAGGTTTGAACAGTGTGTTGCAGAAACTAACCCGAATGAGTGTTGCTAGAGGTGGCGGTGAGTTTCCTTCCACTGAGCATTGCGTCGCTAAGATTCAGGAAAAGTTGGATCAAGGCAACCCATAAAACCCACTGTGATCTCCTATCCATGTGATCTGTATAGACTTCTATATATGAAGACGCTACCTCTAGCTCATATTTTTGCAATACAATAATGCATAAATAAAAGAGTAATTAATAGTAAAGTAGATATGAACTTGCCTGAAGCTTGAGGTCTCAAATTCAAGCCAAGAAGCATGAGAACTTGTTTGAGTACTTTAGCAAAGTGGGGTGTGATGAGTTGTGTGTTTATGTAAGTACGGAGTAGCGTTTTGGCTACGGTATTTGGAATTGACTAGCTCATTGCTAATTGACAAAAATTACGATGTAATGCTTATATATTGATATTAATTCCAAAAGTATTTTCACCCAAAAAAATAATAAATTAATTTAAAATATTCTTATATATAACATCGTTAATATGCCTGGCAAATAATGTTTAAATTTATTTGCTGGTAAAAAAAATGTTTATTTATAGTTTTGTCCTGCGAAACTTCGATATAACTATTTAAAAAAAAAAAATGCAAAAACGTTGAATGCTTATCAGCCTCTTCTACGTAGTAACGTCAAAGCGCTTGAATTATGGGGTTGATCCTAATTATCAAGAACAAGTCTAAATAATAATACTACAACAAAATAATGATAAAATTATTTAAACAAAAGAATATCTTTTCTTGGTGTGTTTCCCTTTTCCACTCCTCCTAGCATAACAAATTGACATGACTCTTGGAAATTTAATCATTTTGAATTTATTTGTGCCAAATTATGTGGTTGTGTCAAATAGAGCTGGTAATATGGGTCCAACTCACCAACCCGCGAAAAAAATGACAGGTTAGGGTTAGCTAAAAGCCAACGTGCTAACAAATGAGCTTTTTGAATATATATTGCCAAACCCACAAGCCACTGCAAGTTAACCCACCAATCCATGGGCTAAATGATATTTTTTTCAATTTTATTAATTATTATAATTATATTATATATTTTATTTTATTTCCTATCTAAAACATTAAAAAAAAAAACCTATATCATTTTTTTTGGTGTTTTCAATCAAGCATTTGAAAGGGAAAACAAAAATTTCATTATATTTTTTTTATTATATAAGGAAAAAATTGAATTTTTTTAAGAAAAGCAAACAACAATTGGCAGGTTGATTGGCCAACCCGTCAATCCCCCCGAGGCAAGTTAGACTAAAGCTTAGCCCTCCATCACACAAGTTTTTTTTTTCTTTGTTTTTTTTTTTACCTGAACTGCCTAATCCTAACCTACCACGGGTCAACTTGTAACTCGCGAGTTGCTTCGTATTACCAGCTCTAGTTGTGTGTGCATTTTGTCTAGTATCATTTTTGAAACCATCAAAATCATCATTTTAGATATTTAGCAGATGACAATCACCTATTTCCTTATGGTACATGACTTGCTTTGGCTAATTATTATGGTAGCCATCCACATGCAGGCTCGACTGGGTCCAAGTAAAAGTAGAATTGTTCAATCACCACAAACAGTGGTCCTTCATATGTAACTGACTGCCTGGCTGTCCTCTTTTGATATTTGTAGTTTTCTGCAATTTTCCAGTGAGACTACATGCATGCATTAAGCCTTGAATATTCGACGGCCGGCTTCAACGGCGTAACTGAGACGATGAAACTATTCCACTATGTATTTCGATCCAGCGGACTCGTATTATTTTCTCTAGACTATATAATCTGTCTGGATCCTCGATCCTTATGGGGAACGACTTCGAAATTGAGCTTTTTCTTGGCCCAGTTTGATTCATGTTTTATTTATATAAATATATATATATTTGCTTGACACTCCATTGCGAGAATAACCCTTGGGGCCTGCGTGCTTTTGTTTGGCCATAGGCTTGTGTGAACTTAAGTTGTTGATGACTATGTATTATTTTTATGGTCATCGAGATTAGTACAAACGTAGTTTTCAGCATGTTTGCGTGGTGCTCAGCAAATGGGGAATAGGTATCGTGTGATAAAACACAAGAGACAAGTTGACTTGACGACCTAAAGTTTGATCTTTTGGAACTTTCCCATATCATTTTTAAGTTGTCTCTATATGAGAAAAAGGGGAAAGATTACAAGTAACGTGTTTACACATGCTTTTACATGCTACTAATGGCTTTATAATTTAATAACATGAAATCTCCTTAGTGAGTGGGGGGTCGCATTCAATTTTGCTTGTAATATCAATTCGTTAGTGCTATATATATATATATATATATATATATATATATCTCCCTTTAATAATGATGATGATGGTGGTGGTGGTGTTCACATGCTGTAGGCTCTTAGTAGGAATGCTGAAGGAGGCACAATGCATGTTGTAAATTGGGCTCGTTCTCATTAACCTTAAATATTATACTCACGGACAAGCCCAAATAACACTACCTTTGGTCCTAATTATAAGACTTTATTTATATTTTACAAATGAGGTCTTATAATTAGGACAGAAGGTAGTACATCTATACTCTAGACCAAAATACGAGTGATAGCATCCACAAATCTGTCTATCTTCTACTTTATCCATAAAATCTCGTAATATCTGGTTGATGAATGTGATGGTACAGGGGCGGCATGAACGCTATTAGGAAAAACAGCACATTCAACCTATTTATTCTCATCAAGGGTCTTATATTTAGGACTAGAGGAGTATTTATTCTTTACCTTTGTAAATTTAATTATTTTAATGACGCAATAATTGTGGAGGCATCTTCCAAATTCCTTTGGAACTAAACATTGCCGTTATCAGGAAGAATAACGTTACAAATAGTTTGATTGAAAATTTTTAAGTGAAATCAATATTTAATAAACTAAAATTGTTAGCGTTAGATACTTCAATCTTATATTTTATTGTCCAATTCATACCTAAGAAAAATTATATTTCCAAAAACAAATATTAAAAGATGAAGTTTCTTTGTAGTAGAAGGCGAAGAAGAAATATAATAGAATATTTCTTTTCAGCAGTATCAAACATTTGAATATGTACCACCCTGTGCGAAGCACGGGAAAAGATTCTAGTTATTATGAATAATAAGTAAGATCTAATTAGAAGACAAAACCAGACATGAAAAAAAATATTAGTGTTAACGACCACTCTTTTAGTTGTCAAGGCATATTAAAAAAAAAGAAAATTTAGTAATTAAACAAGTGAAATCTCTTGCAATGAGTCTCTTATTGGGACTTCAAATTAATTTGATGATTTCATCAAGAGATATTTTTGTATTTAATTCTCCTGAGTTGAACCTCATTACAATTTTTTCTTATATTACAGAGATTGGATGAAAGAAACGTCGCCCAGTCAAATCCCAATAATGGAGTGAACCCAAAATAAACACACACACACACACACACACACACACAAAATTTGGAAGTAGATGATTGTCATGCATACCCATTAGGCCATTATGGGCAGAGGGGGCTTCCCGTGAAAAAGTTAGAATCATATTGGGGGCCCTTGCCTCTGCCTTACGTATATTCCGGGGGAACCAGAAAAATTAATTAGTGGGCGCAATATTTTTTAATATAAATATTAATTTTCTGGTATATATATTATTATAAATAACTATAAAATAAAAGGTAAAGTAGCATCCATCACCTTGATCTTATTTAATTTCTCTTGTGTATCCAGCATCTTGATCTTATTCATAATGTGTTTATCAGCACCCTATCAGAAATAAGATTAAAGTACTGGATGTAAATAAATAACATTATGCATTGGATGCATCAGAAAAATAAAATAAGAATATTGGATACACTATAAATAAGATTAGGGCGCTGAATTCTACTTTGCCTTAATATAAAATGTAAAATTGCTTCAATAAAAGTAACATTTTGTATTGAAGGTCATGTTAAAATACTTCTCCAATCTGAAATATAAGAGTTAATTAAGGAATTATTATTTTGATCCGAAATATAAAAACATTAATTTACCTTGTCTTTTCAATTTCATTTTCTCAAACTATTCCTATTAATTGTACATATTATAAGGGAGTTCCCATCAAAAGGCAATTTTAATCAAAATTATTAAAAATTTGTATTTTAAGAAAACCAACACACAATCATACAAATGACTAACTTAACTAATTTTCTTAATCTAATATATAAACTAATTATCTGCTTATTATATTCATGATCGGAAGGAGTATTAAGTAGAAGAGAATTTGATCATATCTGTTTTATTCTTGATTATGCGTTGGTCTTCAAATTTGAGTGTGAGAATTTCCGAGGATACCTTTATTTCAAGGTTGAATGGTGACTTCAATGTTACTTCTGCATGGGAACTAAAATATGATTTTAAAAGTAATTTTAGGAAATATAAAGTATGTGAAAAGAATTTTATTTCGGTTTACGTAAAAACACTTATTTTAAGTGCTTTCAGGAGTTACGAAACATCCCCGAAAATTAAGACAAGTTTCAGTCCTAAATGGAATGATAAGCTTGAGAACAATATCCTGGTTTTCGAAGTGGGCCAATAGGCCGTGAATATAACAAATTACGTATGACATGGACTAAATAATGTTTAGCTATGGAGATGGATAAATATAACGTAATAGTTGATTGAATTGAGCCGGAAGAAAAGAAAAAACGTAAACAAGGAGCTATCTTCCAGACAATATACTGACGTCTGAATCAAATTGCAAAGCACTCGTATTCATGGAACTGCTTGAATTGATGGGGTGGTCGCTGCTGGTCACTTCCATGCTTATCTCCATTGCCAAACATTCCCTTAGCTCATAAACTACTTGACTTATGACTGGCCTCTGAATTGCAGTTGGTGCAGTGCATGACATGGCTATCTCCAGAAATTTCCAAGCCGAATCGACATTATATTTTCCTTGGAACCTTGGATCAACAATGTACTGGATATCCTTGTTTTTAACTTTAGGGGTAACCCATTGAAGAAGGAGACTGACGGTATTGTTTGGATGCCTTTTTGCTGCTGGTTGTCCAGTGATTAGCTCTAGCAGAATTATCCCAAAACTGTAAATATCACTTCCTTTTGTAAGGTTGCCAGAACTTTGAAACCTGTGAAAATTTAACATCCAAAGGGATACAGAAGATTCCACAAGAATTAGTTTAGTTTATTTAATTTGTATATCAAATCAATTCAGATTCTTCACAAAAATTAAACTCTACCTCGTGGTAGTCAATCTAACAAATACAAAATGAGCTTGGTTTGTTTTCCAATCTAAATATACAAATGCTCTTTGTATTGCATTGATTTTCTTGAACATAAGCAAATCTCAAAACAAATTTGGCACCGATAATTCTCAGTTGAAAAATATTAATAAAATACTTACTCGGGGTCAAGGTAACCAATAGTTCCAGCTGGACGAGTTGAGACATGACTGTCAATATCATTTGCAAAAGCTCTGGATAATCCAAAATCTGCAATTTTAGCTTCCATATTTTCATCTAGCAAAATGTTAGTGGTCTTCAAATCCCTGTGTACTATTGCTGGCTTACAACCATCATGCAAATATTCTAATCCTGCAATTTCATCCATTGTATAACCAGACAAATTGCATTATATATTTTTATCTAGACTTTTGTGTGTGTGTGTGTGTGTGAGAGAGAGAGAGAGAGAGAGAGAGAGAGAGATTATATAGGAGAATCAAATTAAAACAAAATCTTATCATTTCCATACAAATTGGAAAAAATTAGTTTCGCTTACCACGCGCTGCATCTAGTGCAATTTGAAGCCTATTCTTCCATTTCAAAGCATGCTTGTTATTACCTATACATAAAACAGTATAATGAAATTTCTTTTACGTATACCTTCAAATATTGCTCAATGAAGTAACGCTATATTTTGGATATAGAAAATGCATAGTTTTGCTTTTTAATTCAAAGCAAGATTGCATACCTGATAGATGTTGCCGGAGGTCACCATTAGCCATATACTCATAAACTAATGCCCTTGCACCAGTTTCTTCGCAATATCCAATCAAAGAAACCAAATGTCTATGGTGAACAACCATCAAAAGTTCTACCTATAACTTAGATGGAACTTTATCAGCTCTATGAGAATGAGATAATTGATAGTGAACGATATATGTTTCTAATAATGGGGTCATAAAACAAGAAAATTAAATAAACTATTGGATTTTGAGCTAACCTCTGATCGGAATTCTCTATGACCTTGTACTGATGATTGAGAAAGTAATTTTACTGCAACTTGAGTATCATTCTTAAGACTACCTAAATAAACCTTTCCAAATCCTCCTTCTCCAATCAAGTTTTGTAAGTTATTAGTGATCTCAAGAACGTTGGAGTAAGAAAATGCTTTGCTTCTTAGTTTTGATGACTCACGCCTAGTAAAATCCCCTGCAAAAAGATCTGTCAATAGTTAGTGTGGACCTCGGCATTCAGATGTTTTCTTTACCATTTCAAATGGAATCAATGGATTCCAATATGAAAAGAGTAAGACATAACAAAGCAGATAGTTCACAGAATCTTGTGCAAACCTTTCAGTCTTTTGATCCCAAAGAACCATATTCCAAGCAAAACCAAGATCACAACAATCAAAATAGAAACAGATGCTATCACGGGAATAGCGAACTTATGCTTTTTGCATGGATCCGTCAAGCAAAGATCAGCATTACCATCCAAACTGAAAGATAAATCAGATAATAAGTTAATTAGTATTATCATTGACTTATCAATTTTACTGATGATCATGTCAGATCAAATAATTATAAATCTTGTCCAGTTACCTTAAAACGAAATAAAATCTGTCCTACCATCGTTGAAACACAAACAGTTTTATCATATTAAATTAATATTGACAAACTGATTTTTCTTCAATTAAAAAAAAAAATAAAAGGCTCGTAAAGCTAAGTAACTATGATAGATAAACAATGAGAAACCTCATTTCCAAATCTGACTTCTCCTTCAGAATATTTGGAATTGAACCAGTAAGCTTGTTGCCTCTCAAATTACTGCAAGAAAGTCATTGTTGAAATATATTCACTTATTAGGTGATCTACAAGTTATCATGGTACATATGGACTACTGGTAATCGAAAATCCTACACCAACTTACAGGACTTTCAACTTCGGCAATTTAGCTAGAAATTCTGGTATTGTTCCTGATAATTTATTATCTGACAAATCCCTGAAAGCGCAAAAACATCATTTTACATGGTGAAATTCTTAGATTGAAGATGTGGTCATAATTGAGCACTGTACACTTACAGGGACTCTAACTCCGTAAGTTCTGAGAATGAAATACTTATGTGTCCTGTTAACTTGCTCATGCTCAGGTTTCTGCTAGGAATAATCAGAATATGTGGTCAAAACAAACTAAAGGTGATTATAAAATTTTCTCAAGTATATATGGCTTCTTTAATAGTTAATACTTTTGGAAATATGGGAGAAACAGTTGAGATATGAATAATGTCGTCATCCCCCCGTGAATAAGATCCTATCTATATAAAGGTAGATATGTCACAAAACACAGGAGACAAATGCTATGTAACCAAAGTTAAGAAAAAGAAAAGAGTTAGGTTGTAACTGACATGTAACATTAGATGTTGTTATTATGTTTGACAGCTAACCGATGGATGTACTGTTGGGTAAACTTAAAAATGGAAACGTATACAGCGCTTACTCGGTCAATATTTGACTAAGTCAACAAAGAAAGTGAGTTGACTAACGTAATTTTAAATTAATTTAAAACAAAATAAATAATAGAGCTAGGACTTCTGAAATATCTTTTAACATTTTGCAACAGAAGTTAACACCATTTACCGAAAGAGAGAATAACGTCAGTTAAATTGACCCCAACCAACTCAAGCTTGCACTTATCAAAACTTCTGGGGTGAGAACTGTGGAAATGATCACACACAGTTCATGCTATATTTAGGAAAGTTTATAATCAACATATTTGTGACAATGATCATAGATCAAGAAGTGGAATACTCACAATGAGGTGATCCTTGCGTAGGAGTGATTGGTGCCAGAAAAGCAACTGAGTCCCTCCCATGAATAATTGGGAATACACGGGTCACCTTGCCAATCCAATTTGGAGATTTTGTATGTGATTTTGATGTCCAAGATAGCATCCACTACAAATAATAAATATGTTGTGAAAAAGTCAAAGCAAAAATGTGCACACACTGAAATGATAGAAGACGTAGCAGGAAACAACTCATAGTGATTAAGGAATAGAGCAACGTATACCATCTCTATGGTCTGTTGGGAAAGTTAGTGGTGATGTTAATTGGTAAATCTCAAGTGCATTGAGGATTGGAGGCGCAGCAGATTCTGATGTTGCACTTATGCTGAAACGAATACAACTTTGATTTGTAACTGTAGAAACCGTCAGAGGCTTCAAGTATTCAAGAGTTATGGGCTTTGGGAGGAATTTTTCATCGTTAACACTAATATCGATCACTCTTTTCTGCCCAAGGGGAAGCTTCTCAATTTCAGCAAAATGAAAATAGACGTAATATGTGAAAGAGTATTCAAATGGACTCCCCCAAGCAGAAACACAGTCCGAGTTTAAAGAAGAGGAACGATTCAATGATTTGGCTGCGGATAGTAGCACTCGTGTTGGTAATTTGTAAGGATCATCTGTACTTTTGGGATCAACATCCACAGATTTATTGAACACTACCCAATCTTGCAATTGGAGAGCGTAGGCTTCGCGCCACGTACGATCATAGATGTCATCCGTGTACCTATGCTTGCATTATTAAATAACTGAATATGAGAATTGTTTCCATGTAAAAGGAGAGCATCATGAATAGCACAAGGAGCTATAGAGAACATAAAAATTCACAAGAGCCAGATAATGGAAATGCGAAAACACAACATGCTACAGAATATAAAAATTAGAGTCACCTGGTGTACTTGGCTGTACCGGTGTAGCCAACATCAACTCTTCTATAGAGAGACAAAAGGGATTGAGAAGGGGAGGGAGCTGTATAAATAGAATTGCTGAGAGGTCGTAGTTCCAATGTAGAAATGAAAGGTATTCCTTTGCCTGACTTTACAAGGCAAAAGTGTATGGTGTCGGTTGTAGGAGTATGGATGGTCTCCACAAAAACATAATTTTGGTTTGCATTAATATTTGTCCAGTAATTGGTGCCGAGGTACAAGTCAAAACTGGGAGTTTGATTTTTGCCATCATAGTTTCCATATGTGAAGAAAGCTCGGATGAGGTAATTCTGGTTCTTGCCCAGTTTTGGTTTCAGGGTATAGCAATTTCTTCTTCCTTTAGGGAAGCTTCTTAGTGTCTGGAACTGTCTCCCAAAATAAGGAAAATCTATTACATTTCTTTGATCAGGCGCCACCATAGAATTATACCCTGTGTCTATAAAACTTTTGTCTGTCTGATATGAGATCCCAGTTTGAGGGTCAGTGTATTCGTCGCTTGCTCCGCAGTCAATGCTTATGAAGTCTGTGGGTACGTGCAAAAATTTGACGGAAACCTTGTTAACTAAGAAAACATTCATAGGTTTGACAATAAAACCAATAGTCATAATCAAGGGTTTGGCCGGTACGTCATATATATATATATATGAATATATATATTTACATGGAACATTATCTTACATAACCTACTTAAGGCCCTTACCAGAACGAGAGTTGCTGGTGGGGGCGGGTCTCCTTCCACTGAGCATTGCATCGCTAAGATTAAGGAAAATTTGGATCAAGGCAAACCATAGAAGCCACTGTGGTGTCTTCTCCATGATCTGTGTTTGAATTCTATGAAGACAGCATAATAACTTTATATATAACATAATAATGCATGAATAAACGAGTAATAGCAAAGTAGACACGAACTTGCCTGAAGCTTGAGGTCTCAAATTCAAGCAAAGATGCATGAGAAGTAGGTTTGAGTAACATAGTAAAGTGGGGTGTGGGTTGTGAGGGTTTATATAGTTAGTGGGAAGAAGTTGCGTTTAGCCTACGGCATTTGCATTGACTTGCCGGAGGATAACTTTTGTGATGGTTTGAAAAACAATCTTAAAAATTAATAGCTAAGGGCACATAATTACATCAACAGCAGTTAAATTATTCAAAAATTAAATTATGTTTTTTTCCTGGAAAGACTATGTAAATAAATCATCATTTATATTTCTGGGAATTATATCTTCATAATCTTTCGCTTCCTCCCTCTGTAGTTACTAGGGATTTTTTTTTAAGTCCAATATTTTACCATCCAACTTCTTTTTTAGTTTGTTAAAGACTAAAGCGCAGCCTGCATATTTGGTCATGACCAAGTCCTTCAAGCAATGAGTTATATATCTTGCGGTAAAATTGCTTTGACTTAATGCATATAGCTATTACACACGCAATCTAATAAAGAAATGATACAATGTGACGTATATAGAGGAGGTGGCCTGCTTTTATTTCTATATAACGTGTACTGAGGGGTGTTGACCAGTGTATTTAATCTCGCTACATGCACATTCGAAACCTCTCTTCCAGTCTTACTACTTATTCTCGTTTGTGACACATGCCCCAGACATTATTATTTACATTTATTTCTCACAATCTGTCGTGGAGGAAAATCCTTATCTAAATTATATTGGTGGATAAAAAATGAGATGCATATATTCTTATTACTATACATCCAATCCTTAATATATGACCTAGTTGATTAACTTAAAAAATTAAGACAGTAAATTACTTTAAACTATTTATATTTATCACTTTTCTCTAAAATAATTTACCTCACTTATAAATTGATATACAATATAATTTTATGATTCACATAAGTAATTTAGAAAGATAGTGTATGATATGCTGTATTAAGTAATTAGAGAGATCATGTAAGATGTGCTATATTAAGTAATTTTATAACTTTCTTAATCTCCTCAAATTAATCAACCAGATCTTATATTAAATACCGAAGGTAGTATATTGATTTTCAGCTTCTAAATAATAACGTCAAAGTGTTGGCGAAAAAAGAAGAAAAAAAACTTCAAAGTGCTTGGATTGGGGTTCATCCGTAGCCAGGATACAATGCAAATCTAAATAATAATAACAAAAATAATGATAAATATTATACAAAAATGAAGCAATATCTTTTTTTTAAGATTTTCCTTTTAATCTTTCTATCTAACAAACAGATCGATGACTTGAATGTATGGGAAGTTTATCATTTTCAATCTACTTTGTGTGAATCATGTGGTTGTGTTTTGTTTGTTGCCACATATTTAAAACTATAAAAAAAAATCATAATTTGTTAGGTCAAAGTAATTAGATAGCTGTTTACTACTATCAAAACTATGATTTTTCAGTTTGATAGTTTGTAACATAAAACCAAAGAAATTAAAGCAATATACTAGATAGCGGAAAATAATAATCGCATATGACTTGCGTTGATTGTTATGGTGGCCGTGCATCGGTATGGGTTGACATGGTCCAAATAAAAAAGAAAAGGGAGCTTTATGGCTGACATGACTGGAACGTCGAATTCCTCGGTCAACGCAAACACAGTGCCATTAGAGACGACTTCTTTGGGTCCCTTCATAATTGACTGCTGTAGCTTTCCTCTTTTGATACACTGCCTCCAGTACCTATGACGGTTATTATAAGAACTAACTTGAAAATATTAAAAAATTTATTTAATTATTTAATTAAATACAGTATTTATTATACAATCTCTCTAAAATATTTTTATATATTATTAGATTATATATCAATTTATAAGTGAGACAAATTAATTAAACAAAAAAATAAATATAAATATTTTAAAGTAATTTAGTAACTTTTTTAATTTCTTTGAGGTGGTATTTGTAATGTTCTGCAATTTTCCCGTAAGACTACGTCAAACCTTGAATATTCAACTGCCAGCTTCAATGGCGTAAGTGTGACGATTATTTTCTCTGGAGTCTATATAATCTAGATCGCTGGTTCCTTACGGTGAACGACTTGGAATCCTTGTTCTTGTGGTGCGTACATATGCAGAAAAGTTTAACTTTTTTTCCTTTGTCCAAAGAAAAGTTTGACACTTGCAATTTAATATTTATTCACATCTAACTACCTCTATTATCCTTGTCATGCAACAAAAGAAAATGTATAATGAAATACGAATGGTTTTAATTAGGATTTTCGAGTATGAATGTAGGGTCTATGTCAATTAGCACGAAGGGTTCGCAT